GGCAGAAATAACATCAATAATGATGATTATGTCAATATAAATAGTGGTGATACAATAAAGAAACAGTTTCCTAAATCTTAATAGTTCAAGACAATGAAATGAATTCCCAGCTGATTATTTTCCACTATAGGTTTTAGGGAATTAAATTAGACGCGACCGAGTACAAACTCCCTTTTTTCTGGTAGTTACTGTGCAGTCCGTTGATGATTCATGAACATTACTGATTATGTTTCAATGCAAATGGAACAAATCGTAAAGACAGAAAAACTGGTGAGAGAAATGAGAGACATACTAAGACTAAGGAGTCAGAAAGTTACATCATACAGACATCAGAGCTAGGTTTTCCGACATCAAAGTCGAAATTTATGGGTGGTATTTTTTTTCCGATTTAACAAGCGTCCGACATCAAGGAAACTGGGAACGAACACGGGAGAGGCAGGGAACAAGAAGGAAAATGGAGATGAAGAGAAGGAAGGAAGAACGGAGAACGGAGAGAAGGGGAAGCAGGCAGGGAATATGATAAGGAAGAGGGGAGAATGCGAAAGGGAGGTAGAGAGTGGAGATAAAGAGAAGAGGGAAGGAAAGAGAGAAGGGGAGATAGGGAGAGAGGTATGAAATGTAATTAGGAAAGGAGGAGAGAATGGTCAAAGGAAGGTAGAAAGTGGAGATAAAGAGATGAGGGAGAGAGGGAGGAAATGTATAAAGGAAGATGGGAGATAGGCGAAAGGGAGGTAGAAAATAGAGATAAGGAGAGAAGTAGATGCAGAGAGAAGGAAAGAAGAAAAAAATTCAACGAGGGAGGATGGAAACGGAGAAAAAGAGGAAAGGAATGGAAAGAGAAGAAAGAAGGGAAAGAATGTCAGGAGGAGGAAAAAAACAAAGACAGGGAGACAGAAAGGGCGAGGGAGGAGGGGAGAAAACGGAGATAGAGATAAAGGAAGTGGGAAGAATGACGTGGCAAAATATATATACGCTTTGTGCACTTAGAAGGACACGCTACGCAAGTTTACGTTACATTTGGTTAGTGTAGAAAAGTAAGAGAGAAAGACAAGGAGAAGGACAGAGACCGATGTTAAAGTTGCGTGTGTGTGTGTGTGTGTGTGTGTGTGTGTGTGTGTGTGTGTGTTCGTTTGTAAAGAAGCAGGCAGAAGGGCGAATGAATTTATACGTGTGTAGGAAGTTGCCTGTAAGGGGAATGAGAGAGAGAGAAGTAATACAAATAAAGATTCTTTGATGTATTGTCTATGGTGATAAATGTGTCATATAACTGCATAGACATTCAAGTTTAGAAGCATAGATGGGATGAAGATTATAATACGAAAAAGAAAAAAAAATGCGGAGTCACATTTCCATTGAGGTATATGGCACTCTATGCCCATTGCATACCCTACACTTACTATGCTATGCAACAAATGCTCCTTGAAAAATTTTGCGAACTCCAGAAGTCCATCATCCTTCGTACGCTGAAACCCCGTGTTCAGTGCAGGGCTGTAAGGCTGTAAGTCCCGTGCAGCTCTCCATGATGAGTATCTCCGTGAATGGTCGTTGATATAGTGTGAAGTGAGGCAGACGGCTGAAAGGAACGCTGAAACATGAATTAAGCTGTTCGAACGGAGGGAAGGTGGTGGAGATGGGATGAGGGAGAGGGTGTGGGAGGGTGGGACAGGGATGGGAGGAAGATAGAGAGGGAGAGATTGACGGAGGGAGGGAAGGAGGAAGGGAGGGACTGAGGGGCACGTGATTTAAGCTGTTCGAAGTGGACGACCAGGTTATGTGAAGACGCCGGGGCCCGGATTCTCAAAAGAGCCTTAAGTTAAGGCGTGCTGGAGGCCTTAACCGTCCTGCTGTATTTCCCTTATACAAGAGCGAAGAGTTGATTTCCGCCCGCCGTAAAGCGCCGAAGGCTGCTCTCCCCCTGCCTTCACCTAAGGCGCCTCAACTCGCAACAATATGGCGGGTCCCTTGCTCTGTGTATGTGTATCTGAGATCGCTCGGCCGTAAGTTAAGGCGCCTTAAGGAGATACGGCGCCTTTACGCGTTTGAGAATCCGGCCCCGGGATGCCTGAATGTGCAGTCATGGTTAAAGTCTTGTCGAACCTGCTTCGGATTCCGTTTCGAACACGCGCTTGATACCACACTTATTGTACTGGGGTCAGATTCTGAAACGCGTTAAGGCGCCTCAGGTTAAGAAGGCAGGGGGAGAGCCGCCTTTAGCGCTTCACGGAGGGCGGGAAATCAACACTCTTCGCTCTTATACAAGGGGAATACAGCAGGACGGTTAAGACCTACAACGCGCCTTAACTTAAAGCTCTTTTGAGAATCCGGCCTCTGGGTGAGATAGATTCGAAGCTTCAATTCGTGACTTTTGCCCGCCACTGCACCCAACACAGTCACCACGATATGGTGTTCGCCCGACAGTGAGGCACGTCCATCACACAAGGTTCCGATCTTGCTTCCAGGGCATAGTGTCCCCACGCCTTTGAAAACTGCGCATCGGGGA